CTTGAATTTCCCCATCTTGACTGAGGGAGCCAACACAGAAACAATACCTACCTCGTTCATCAATAACTTAACTGAACACCTGGTTACTCTGCGCCAGGCACAAGGCTGAGTTCTGGGGCTACAGCAATGAACATGACAGGAAGGGAGGGCCCTTTGGTACTTTCTACAGAAGGTCATGCCATGTACACTGTTTAGCAGTGACTGGCACATAAGCATTCTATAAACACTACAGTCCTACCGCTAAACCCACAACGTTTAGTGTTTAATTATGTGCTGATTACGTTGCCTCCCATGTAATAATTAATTCATCTAGCTCATCGGTTCTCAACCTGTGGGTCGCGACTCCTTTGGGGGTCGCACGCCCCTTTCACAGGGGTCGACAAAACACCTATATAATTACATATTGTTTTTGTGATTAATCACTATGCTTTAATTATGTTCAATTTGTAACAATGAAATTGGGGTCACCACAACATGAGGAACTGTATTAAAGGGCTGAGGCATTAGGAAGGTTGAGAACCAATGATCTAGCTCGTGCCCTCCCAACAAAGCATCCCGGAGGCTAGGGGCTGGGGATCACGCTCACCGAGGGCACAGCTTGTTGGATGGAAGGACACAGGATTTGGAACCAAATGGCCCCGGCCTCGAAACCACGCTGCCACTGGCTAGCTCTGTGACTATACCAGAGACCAGCAGCTGTCCCCCAAAATCTGTCCTCTACTTCCTCTACCGTAAGAGAATTCCTAGATTTTGGCTGCGCACATGGACACTCAGAATCAAGGATAATATTTCCCAGCCTCCTCGCAGCAGAGTATGGTCATGTGATCAAATTCTACCCAATGGGGATATAAGCAGAAGTGATGTGTATAACTTCCTAGAAGCATCCTTAAATTAAGAGGGCCTGCCCTTTACCTATCCTTTTCCCTCCCAGCACGGCCATCAGGGACATGAGATGCCCTTGGGAAGGGAGGCGTGCACTTGGATCAAGACAGAAGGGGCCTGGGTCCTACTATTGTGGAGCACATTTCTAGCTGGTACAGTGATTTACCTTCGGCAAGTTCCTCCACCTCCCTGGGCCTCCATATCCCTATCTACAAAAAGGTGATCAGACAAGGTCTCTACCCAGACCCAGCAAGGCTGTGTTGAGGACTTAATGAGATGGGGCTTGCTTCACAGTAAGGGCTTGAGTTAGGAGACGTGATATTACCACTGTTCTTATCTCGCTGCAAAGAAAAATGTTGGAAATGGAGACATCTTAACACTGCCCTGGGGGCCCAGAGGTGGCTCAACAATCACACACTTGAAAAGGCACCCCAGCCATGCCAATCCTCCAGACAAGAATTCCCTTCTCTGACACCCTGGTCAAAGGCCTCCAGGGAAGGGAGGTGCACTCCCTCTAGGACTACTGTTAGGAGAGGGATGTTTGTTCACCCATATATCACTATTCTCATCTATCCCTTCGGAATCCTTGAATCCTTCCTCCGAGGGCCCTGACCCACCTCGCTCCTCTCCTCTGCCTCCTTATCTCTGCCTTTAATGACCCCAGCCCTGCCTCTGGTCGCACTCCCACAGGACATCAAACTTCCCTTCTATCTCTTTTGGAAGCACCCTCTGGTCTCTGCCCAAAGAAGCTTCCCTAACTAACTGGGAAGTAAGTGATCGCTTCCTGAGCCCATCCTTTTCAAATAGAGGCTTCCCATGCTCTCCAAACAAAATTCTCTCCCATCGGAGAAGACTACAGGACCATCAGCTGCCGACAGGCTCTCCTGCATGGATCCAGAGAGGTCCCAACCGCCTCCATTGGGAGTGTTCTGTTGCTAACACTTTTAAAGCGATTTCATTTTGTTTGCAGCATCAGCACTGAGCTGGGAGGCATAACTCTTCCTGGCAATGCAAAAACGAAATTTGCTTTATGCGCCTAAAGCTCATATTCATCTTTCCTGATAGTTCCCTCCCTGTTCCTCAGACACAAATCCTAATCTGTCTCTCCCAGAGTTGTCGTCCTGTGTCACTGTCACCCACAAAGGCTGCTCCCAGGCACAGCCACAATCAGCTCGCTCTCTCTCCTTCTGCCCCTCTGGCTCCGCCCATTCTCAGTAATGGAACTTCACTCTCCTCATGGTTTAACCAGGTCCAGGCTTTAGAATTGGAACAAGGGTGCCTGTGGCAGCCAATGGCTCCCCAGGGGGGTGGGAACCCAGAGCTGCAACAAGAAGAAACAAGACAGTGGTCAAGAGGGCAGGAATCAGCGCCCAGCCAAGGAGAAAAGGAAGAATCTGATCCGGACATGGCAAAGGACCGGGAACAGAAAGCACAGGCCTAATGATGTCAGAGGAACCACAAGCATCTCGGAGATCCGCCCTGTATCCCCCAGGGTTTCCCAACTCACATTGCCTTTCTGGAGGCTGGCTCAGCCTCACTTTGCAGAGCACTTAGCCTTCTCCTACTTTTCACACACACACAATTTTACTCCAGGGGTGTGCCTCACATGGGCATCTGGGAATTCTTTGCTGTTTCAAAGTCACGTTACACATTAATTTGCATGACACAGCAAGAACGCTGCCCCATGAATCACTCCACAACCGACTACAAGCAGGAAACGAGACCCCCAACGTGGGTTATGTCCCTGCTCCAAATACCTTCTGCTCTCCAAGGTTCCCTCCGCCGTGCTCAGAGCCACCGAGGAAGGAGAAAAAAGGGGACTTCTCCAGTGGGGCCCAAAAGACCAGGCAGAGATGGATGTGTGTCCACAGTTCCAAACCTCCCCACTCCCACAACGTCCGTCTCCTGCCACCATTCCCCTTCAAGGCCACCTTGAGGCTCACTGTCCTCCACGACACCTGCTTATACGCGAGGCTGGGAGTGAAGGGAAGACAACAGAGCAGGTGCCAGGGCCCAAGCTTCCACTCCACAGAGCGGCCCAGCACAGGGACCAGCCGGGACTTACAGTCCTTGAGCAGCCAAGTCCCTTGAGCAGCTGGAGGAAACAAAAGGCACAAATGTCACATCTCCTTGTTTTCCCATCGGCGCTTCCCTCTGCCCTGGGCCCCACCCGACCACTCTGCCTCTTTCCCGCCTTCGCCACACAACCCGCCCCACACCTGAACCTCCCAGAGGGCTTTCCTTGTTGGTCCTCCTGAATCCACATGAATCACTAACTACTGACTTACACCCAGACACTAAGCGAATGACAAATACAGAATCACAAATGGCAATCGGATCGTTAGGACTGGCGAACAGAGAGCTTCCTGCCTTCTGCGTCCACCTGAGCACACGGGAGACACTATCCTAACCCCACCTGGGCGGAGGCTCTGCTGACTACACTGCCGCCAGGCTAGGTGTGTGTGCATGCGTCAGGGCAGGGAGGGCTGGCACTAAAGAACTTACACGCTGCCTCCTTCACGTGCTACGCACTGGAATTACCCAGGACGGCTGGAAGTCGGATGCCTGGGCCACGCTCCCAGAGAATCTAGTTGAATTGGTCTGGGGTTGCCTCCTGGACTTGTATTTTTAATAAATTTTTTAATTGATTTCAGAGAGGAAGGGAGAGAGAAACATCAATGATGAGAGAGAATCATTGATTGGTTGCCTCCTGCATGCCCCACACTGGGAACCGAGCCCACAACCCAGGCATGTGCCCTGACTGGGAATCGAACCCTGACCTCCTGGTTCACAGGTCGATGCTCAACCATTGAGCCATGATGGCTGGGCCTGCCTGGACTTTTAAAAGCTCCCCCAGTGATTCCAACCTGCCCCCAAGTTTGCAAACCACTGACTGCACACATTTATGATGTGTTCAGAGCACTCACAGCCTTTCACTGTCAACATAGCTCTTGGAGGCCTCATCCCATCTTACTGGGGCTCAGACGTCAATCCCGGTAAGGCCGAGACTGGAAATTGGGTTCTCTAATCCCAGGCTCCGTTCTGTCCACCCACCTGGGAACTCTCGCCAGGGTGTAGACAAGGCATGAAAGCAATCTCCACTGCCAACAGGTCATGGACAAACCCCATCAATACAAGAAGCCTGGACTTGGAAGTGCAGAGGCCCAGGCAGCAGTGACGACTGGTTCTGAACGCGGGGACCCAGCCATCAGAGAGGGCGGGAGGTGTGCTCACGTGTGAGGCCTGGGGCAATGCAGAGAGACAGACAGATCCTGGCCAGGGAGCTTATCCGAGACCCAATGTGTCCTAACATACGTCACTGAAGACGGAGTTCAATGGCAGGGAAAGTAGTTTTGAATTTGAGGATGGACAAACGTTAGGCACTGGGAAGAGAATCCTTAAGAGAGGCGTCCAAGGTTTGCCTCTCAGTGCCAGTTTCTTCGTCCAGCTCTAAGCATTCTGACCGTCTGTGAGGGCACAAAAACCAATCCTAATACATCCCCAAACCAGGCAGCTGCAATCCCTCCAGCCTCTCTTCCTGCCAGAGCAACAATCCGAGCTTTCTTGGTGAGGGGACATATGACAGTGCCTTCAAACACATGTTTGTATCCAGACTACTTAGGTAGCGCAAAGCATCCCTTCAACCCTTTTCCGACCACACCTACCTCCCCATCAGCATCACCACACCAACCTCCCCGACACAGTAGGAATAATGTTGCCACGTCGGGTTAAGAATTTACATGGACCATCACAGAGGTGAAGCCACTCAAGCACGTGTGTAATACTGCAAAGAACCAGCCCACAACCCACACGGAGTCCCCCAACCACTGACGGGCAGATGGGGGACCTCATCCCTGCAAAGCCTGGGCCAGACACTTTAAGGGCAGCAAATGTTCCTTCTTACAGACCACACACGTTGTTCCACTATTCCTCCCCGGCCAGAAATGGGCCTCTTAGTTCACCAGTCCAACCTGTGCCACTCAACCTGTGCCACACAACCTGTGCCACACACCGGCCGCCTCCTGGTGTTGATGGGAAAGAACCGCACGGAATTACAGGAACCAACAGCAGGTTAAACTTTCCCACTGATCGATCGCGCTGATAGCAATGCCACTTACCCAGCACAGCCAGACAGCTCAGCACCGGGAGAAAGCACTTCATGTCGGCAGCAGAGAGAAGTCACAACACGGGGGCTTCCTCCTCTCCCGGACTTAATCTCTCATTGCTGGCTATCCACTCACAGCTCCGGGGGACAGTTTTGGAAACAGAACTTCACTCAGAAAATAAGAAAAGGTTAGAGAAGAGATCGGCAGGAGGCAGTCGGGAGGACCACGGGTGGGTGGCGCGTGTTAAACTCCCCGGTGCAAAGAAAGGGTCCAGCACACTCCTGCAGGCGCTCTGGGCTCCTGCCACATCGTGTGCCTTGCGGTTTCCACTGGAATTATAGATTGCGGTGGGTTAATCCTCCAGGAAAAGGGGAAAAGAGTCTGAGAAAATCCTTTCATCCGCTGATTATACAGAAATGTCCTTGGCTTCCCAGTGAAGGTGTCTGCGCTCTCCCTCATTCGGATTCCCCACAGGGGCCTGGGCAGGTTTTGTCAAAACCTTTCACAGCCAAATCGGCCCTGGCGAACAGCGACTGCTTGGGTTTCTTCGCGGAAAAGTGCACTCCATCCATGATGGGAGGTCAAGGAGCTGCCACCAGCCCCAGCCCTGCCTCGCACACACGAAGCCACTTGGCGTTTCCGAGCCCTGAGGCGGTCCCCAATGCCAGCAGATTTCTAAAACAAACACAACAAAGATTTATCAAAGCCCAACACGCCGGCCACAAAACCCAGAGAGGGGCAGAGCCCGCGAACACCTGGGTCCCTTCCCCGGACCAGGGCAGACGCTTTACATTCTGACCTTGGTCAGGTCGCTACGTCGGCCTCTGCCTCAGTTTCCCCGCCCAGAGCGGGGCAATTGTGGGCAGCCGGATGGTGCCTGCCATACTTTTGCCAAATGCTTCACTCCTGGGGATTCCCGGCGCGAG